CGCCGCTTCTAGCCAGTTGGCTCCCTGGACCGCTCCTACCCAGCTGCTCGTAGCCAGCTGCGACGACCGCACTCGGCCGTTATCGCCCCGGTATGCCTGTTATCGATGGCGAGAAATGGGCTTGCTCGTCCTGCATCAAGGGCCACCGTGTGAGCGGTTGCAACCACACTGGTATGTCGCTCAGTGCGACGCTTCACAACCTTACAGTGCTAATTATGTCTTGAAGATCGCGATCTCCACCACATCAACCCCAAGGGTCGTCCTGTCAAGCAGTGCGAGCACTGTCGCGGTGCGCGCAAGTCCAAGTCTCATCACGCCAAGTGTGATTGTGGCGACAAGAAGGACAAGGACTTGCACAAAGACAAAGGCGACGCGAAGAGTGAGCTCACATCTGGCTTGGCCGTCCCCGACATCTCTGACGTTACTCTAGCTCACGACAACCGCTGCCAGTGCCATTCCGGCGGCAAGTGCTTGTGTGGCACCAAGAAGGAAGAGATCGATCTCAAGATCGACACTACCCGGCAGACGCTCCACGATGCTCGCGCGAAACCCAAGTTGACTGCGACGCACTCGGAGAGCCACTTGACCGTCTTCGCAAACGGCCACCACAAGCCTTGCCATCGCAACAACAACTCGGCCCACGTCTCTGGCCTTCCGTACAAGATTCCTCGTCCGCATACGCTACACGGCCATGCCGCCTTCTCCGCTCTCTCGCAAGAGAAGAGTACTCGCAGCAAGCCTGAACCGCCCGCTACCCGCTCCATGGACACGCTCTCGTTATCGAACAACGACTTCCACACCATGTTCGGTTCTACACAGCGCTGTGCGGACAAGTCGCCGACTCCCAACGTCGGCGGTAGCCTCGACACATTCGGTTTCAATGAGATGTTCAGCAGTCAGCCCGGCGTCTTTCAACAAGACGGCGAGTCTCCCAACAGCAACGTCAGCGACACGTTTTCGAATCAGTGGCCATGGATAGCCAACAGTGTAACACCCGTGAACAGTACGTTCGGTCTGGGCAGCCTGTCCACTTCGCCATCGCAAGATTGCCTCCCCAACATGGATAGCGACTGGTTGACAGCATCCGCTGGTTTTGACCACGTCTGGTCTGCTACTGATCTCCCGCTGGACCCTAGCAAGTTCAACGACGACTTGGCGCAGCCGATCTCACACAGCGGAGAGTCCAAACTCAGCGGTCCCGGCCTTACTGTAGCGTCGTCTGCGCACTCAGAAATTGGAGAGCCAGCCCTCTTCGGTGACTTGGACTTCAAAGCCCCTCAGTCGGCTGCCAGCGAGTCGCTCTTCTGGGAAGATACCCCTGCGTATCGCTTTAGCACTGCCGTACCGAGTGAATCCGTCAACGCGCCCATGCCAATGGCCACTACGGCACCCATGCCGAACATGCTTGGCTTCGATCCTATCTACGCCAAGAGCATGACTGCTGCGCCAGCAACTATGACGAGTACCGCCTCGCCTGACTTTGCCGACACAGCCGCCCTCTCGATGCCTAGCAATTTCGAAGATGTTGTTCCCATGGACCCATGGCCTATAGATCAGACCAACGGTGCTTTCAACGCGATGAACAACTTTGATCTATCTTATACCAACAGTGGTTGGTTTTAGACGCCTGCGAAGGGACAGTCAGCTCTCGCAGCTACTGTCGCTTTTGATGACGCCATGATTGATGACGCTGCTGGTGCGCGATGATACCAACGCCTAGGCGATCTCTATTCATATCTTCTTTTAGTCTTCATGACTACCCTTTTGACTATCGGTCGCCTGTGTATATTTTATGACCTGGCCCGAACCATTCGCTTGATGTGCGTTTGAGGCCGTTCTACATAGATCGCCGCCATCACTGTTTGTTGCATTTGAGTGTTGAACAAGCAAGCATACGTATATACAATGGGATGGATTTGGGTGGTGATTTCAATGCTTGGGCGGTTTGCCCGTGGGGGTTTCGCAAAAGTATAGACGGAGCCTTTGGCGTTCTGACGTCTGGCCCACAATGAAATAAGAAAGTAAAATGATTCTGCGTCTCCATGTGCTTCTCATCGTGAACTCGCATTGTCAATTGAGGCATCCCGACGGACCCCTCAAGCATCGCAGAGTGACGTCCTTGAGTCGCAGCCTGCAGGGCGTGCCGCACGGCCGCAAGGTTCGCTTTCATCCTCCTCCACCAATTAGCGACTCTGCCAATCCAATTTTTCCAGGGTTCCCGCCTCGCCCACACGACGTATTCCTCAAGCGGCCAGATGAGACGCCCTGCATGCGAAGCGTGGAGCGCCTGCAAGCAGAGATTTTCGCTGACCATGATCGGTCGACAGGGATAGGTTATCTCCCAGCAAGACCGTGATTAACCTTTTGGACGCGCATGCTCTGTCAAGATCCCACGTTGGGGTCGTCTTGCACCAAAGGACGATGAGGTGCGTGGATGATCGGCGACAGATGTAACACCACTACGTCGTCTCACGGGGTGCGCGACGAGAGCGCTACGCCAGCGCTCGCGGCGGCTGCGATTGAATCGACGTGATCACTCGCAATGCGACGCACTGCACAAGAGCATGTGCCGGGACGGCCTCGGTGGCATCTAAGGCTATCAAGGCTAAACACTGAACAGTCGCAACACACCTTGTCGTAGCTCCAGAGACGGCTCAGCAAAGCGCGGCAAAGTCAGTCAATTAGCTAGGCGCACCGCACTGCACCGTCAGGAAAGCTAAATCAGCTGCATGACCACGAGCATGTCATCCTACTTACGAGCTGCTGCTTGCGGATGCGTTCACAATCCGGCGCCCGCTGCACAGCACAAACAAAGGACTGCTGCTTGTGTGTGTTGTGCATGCCAATGCCCAGTGCACAGCCTCCCTTTTACGCTTTTTACGAACCGCCAGTGTGGGAGGTGTGCAGTGGGCGTTCTGGCGAACCAGATGCGGGCAAGCTGGGTGTGCTCACTCGTTCTCGTAATGGGGGCGGGTGCATACTTCCTCACGATAGTGCTAGTCAGCCGTTTCCATCACCATCCCAACAAATAGTACCAAGAATGAAGAAGTGTTGTAGCAATTGTCCATGAGGATGGAGAGGTAGCTCAGCTTATTAACAATGTTTGTTCGAACCGAGCTTTCGTGATAATCACTCATCGCGAACTTGCAGCCGCAACAGCAGTATCCTCTCTTCCGCCTTCGTAACGAAGCGTTCCAATAGCGAAAATCACGCACGCATGCAATGCATCTATAGACTTTCGCATATGTAGCCGCGGACAATCCCGCCTAGCGAACTGAACTTCCTTCTCGAGAGTCGCGGCATAGCGATATGTGAAGGTTGTATGGCACGTCTAGACGCCATGCGTCGCATCGCTTGCATCATGATACTGATTTCCCGCGGGTTTTCGGGCGTTCGCAGACTGCGTGGACTTTGCGGGGTCTGGTGGAAGAACAGCAGCTCATTGGCGCTAAGCAACCCCGTCCAGAATGTCAGAAGACGAGCGCGCTCTGTTGGAACACCATCTTGAAGGTTCTGGTGGTTCGCACATCAATGAAGACGTACGTCAGTCGACCTCAGGGACCCTTCCTTCAGACAAGGCAAGATCGTCGATCCCTGAATCCCCTACCTTCGGCATCGGGTCGGTACTGCTGTCTGTCTGCTGTCGCACCTGTCGCACACGCTTCTCTATCGGACCTTTCGGCAGGACCCTGAAAACTTGCCCTTGTCCTTGACCCTGTGGCCTCTCTGACACCCGTTCAAAATGATGTCAACGTCTCGTGTTTGTCCTTCGCGTTCTTTGAACCGAGGCAGAGGCAAGCGAAGAGACAACGAGGTTCCACCGTTCCACCGACTTTTTCCCCTTTGGGTTATACAGCCAGTTGGATATCGCGATCGCCAACGCCGACAATGATTCAGTTTTTTTTTTGCGAGTTGGAGTTCGCGCGTGGCTGTATTGTGGGGGTTGTGGGGGTGCGGAATCATCTGCTTTTACAGTATCTATTGCGCTGCGGATCGAGTGCATTTTACTGGTGAGAAGAAGAATGAGGCGGAACATGCCCGGGCAGCTGCCATTGCTGCGTTTCGCGTACAGTACCCAGGTAAGGGTAGTTCGCGATTGTGATTGCAAGTAACACGAGGCACGACGTCATCACGTCCACGAGGTCGGTTGCTAATAACCGTCTCATTTCCGAGCGTAGACATGGGGATCAGCTGTCGGTAAGCAAGTCCCCGGATATGCTGTGAACACTAGTTCAACGTTATGCTCCGGTGCTGAGGTGTTCCGATGCTTAGGTGCAAGGTTCGGATGTAAGTCATCAATCACATGCACGGCGGAGAATTTCCGCTTCACCCTGCATGCAGCTGGCAAGTCGATCGTTGGAATGTGACGGTCAAGCTTCTTCTTGGTTGCACGTTGCACGTTGCACGTTGCACGTTGCACGGCGGGATTGGTGGCGCGTTTACCGCGTGTAGGTGTCGCATGGATGGGAATGGCGGTGTCGATGCTGGAAAAGTAAGCTGCATGGCGCAAAGAGAGGAGGTGTATGCTTGGTCGTGGTCGAGTATCGATGCGTTGAAAGCAGTTTTACTGGCGGCGTGATGTACTGTGTGTAGAAAAGGGAAAGGATAATGATTTAGATGATGAGTGTCGTGAAGATGATCGATCAGAAGAAGTGAAGATGCGCCTCTGAGGAAAGCGATACGTATTTTCCGTTAGGTAACGGCGAACATCGAATGAAGGTTGTGAAAACAATTGATGATAAACAGTGTTTCCACACGACCAATTCGCGAAGTCGACTGTCAAGTATCAAAACTACATTAGGGTGAAAAAGCTCATCAACAATATACACAACATACACTGAACCACTTCATTCCTCCTCACACCTCATATATGGAAGACACTGAACAGGCTTGCATCCAACACTAGAACAGCAAACAAGCAAAGAAGAAGACGTAGCGTTATGTATGGTAGACTCATCGGTGTTCAGTTTTCTCATTGCTCGGCTCGCCTTCTCTTCACCCTAACCATCCCCCTCCACCTCCACTTCTTCATACCCACTCCCCCAATCAATCGGCTGATACCCACTGAATAAGCTATCTCCCAACTGGTACCCCGGTTTACTAAAGTACGTCGACATGCGCCCCATGAAAACGGGTGGTGTATCGTAGTCTTCGTCCGTGTAGTAGGAAGGCTCTTGAGGTATGGCAGTGTAGTTCGCTTGCGATGGCCAATAGGATGAAGATGAGTTTTCTCTGGGAATGGGAGTAGAGAGAGGTGATGTCTGGGTTGCGGTGGTCGTGTAGGTGGGTTTTTGCGGGGGTAGTGAGGGGTTCGGTGTAGCGTGGCAGTTGCATGTACATGGTGGAGTTTCTGAAGTGGGTCTTCGTTGAGGCTGAGGACTCTGTTGTAGTGTCGTGGGTTCGGGGGTCAGGGCGGGCTGTGATGATGGTGGCGATGGTGTGCTCTCGACTGGTGCTGGAGATATCGTCTTCGTCGACACCGGCTCGCGGTCTGGCTCTATCACTGGCTCGGTGTCTGTCCTCTGATCTGACTTTTGCGGCGACTCCATCTTCTCCGAATCGCCTACACCCGAGCCAAGAGCTGTCCACTGCGATATGTACGAAGGTCGTCCCGGTTGTCTCATTTGACCCTCAACAATCGTCTCCCCCAACAGCGAGATATCCGAGTTCGTCCTCGAATTCGTGTAACTTAGACTCGGTGGCCGACTCGCTCGTTGCGAACTGATTGAACTCGACCGCTTGCTTCTATTCGTATCGCTCACTCCGCCATCCGATCGCATGCTCGTTTCCGATAATGGTCGCAAGAACGAGACCGTTCGCGATCTCCTTAGTGCTTGCCTATCAAGCTTCTCGTCATCTTCAATGGGTGCCGGCTTCTTCAACTCCGGCTCTTTGTACTCCAGCTTGCCATTCTTGTCGGATGCGAAGTATTCTTCACCTCGTCCGAAGACGACTTGAAGGGATGCGAAATCTCGTGTGGTGCCGTCAGTGGGGTAGAGCCAATCTTTGAGTGCGAGAGGGAGGTCGTAGCCATCTCTTGAGTGTCAGCGTGGAACCTCACCATCCATTGGATAACGTATGCGCACCTTGTCTAAATTCTCCTCCTTTTGTCTTCCAGCAAACATAGTATCGCTCAAAGGCGCCGAATGCGCATACTATCAGATCGTCCAGACTTTCGGGGTCGTTTGGGTCTTCTGGTATCTCGCCCAGACGTTTGTATAGCCGTGTGGATGCATCCATGGTGGGTACTCAGTAAAGTAATAAGAAGCCGTGTAGGAGTTGCGGACCAGTCCCGTACGGAAACGGCCGCGGAGTGCGTTAGTCGACAAGATTAAGAAAATGGACTATATGCCACAGAAAAGCAAAAGATACCATGAAATGTAGGGCTCAGTCAAGTTCCAGTCGTTAGCAGTCAGTACCAGGCACGCTTGGGTAGTTACCCCGGCTTTCAACGAGCAATCACTTTACCGCGCCACCTAGCATTACCATATTCTCCATCAAACAGTTCTCGCTACATGACGCCTTGTTATCGCGTGATCAATACGGCATGTGACATTTCGCCAAAACGTGTCGGAAACCTGAAGCAGTTGCGATGAGTGAGTCGGTCGATGGTGGGTCGAGTTTCACATTTGCCGGTCCGCAACGCCATGCAACGGGAGGGTTAGCCGGCAGATCCGTCGTACGCGATAAAGTGTAACATCTCGATTGACTGTCGCTCGAGTTCTGGATGTTGGTAATTGCGAGAAGTGAGGTGGTAGAAGAGATGAGGAAAGATGGTGGCACTGAGCGAATTATGGAAGGTGGCATTGACGCCTAATCGATTTCGGGCATCAACACAGAACGTGATTACTCAACCAAGCACTACCTACCATTGAAATAGATATTGATGTTTGATGGGACATTTGTATTGTTTCTTATCTTTTGTCTTCGTGATAGTGTTCCAACAGTATATCACTTCGTCTTCCCACTCTCGTCCTCCAAGCCAACCAAGTCATCAATTTCCCTAAATAACGCCGACGTAGTCTTTCTTCCACCCGTTGTCGCCGCTCTTTCCCTACCACCGGTGGCATCCGCAGCTCCCCTACCCTTCCCAACCGCAGGACTACTACCAGCTTGTCTACCAACCCCACTCGTACTACCTCTCCCTTGACTCCCTCCAATCCTATTACTCATCCCCTGGTTCCCTTTCCCACTGGTCATAGTCCTCGCAAGAGACTGGCGACCCGATGCCGTAGTGGATGATCTAGGTGACGAACGAGAGGTAGCGGCTCTAGAAGAGGATGGCGATGAGAGTTCAGATATGGAACGATCTCTTTGCCGGCGATCGGGAGTGGGCCTTTGCGTTGACTGCTGTGAAGTGGATCGTCGTGATGAGGGACTCGGGCTTGGGCGGGGACTAGATCTATCTGGATTCGGTCGACGGGGTAGAGATATCACCGGTCTGGTGTTCGATGTAGATTGAGCTGCGGATATGGCTGGGTCTTCTCGGATGGAGGGTGCGCGTTGTCGGGGCGGTGTTATCGGTCGTTGGATGGACGGATCAGACGTAAGCTTCGATGTCGTCGATGGTTGCGATCGTGTCGCTAGTGCTTTTGCTTGCTTCGCTTTGGAGACGGCGAGAGCTAGAGGGGCTGGTGTTGGGGAGGCTTGGGGCTGTGTACTGACTCCCGGCACGCTCAGTGATGCATCTTCGTTGGAGTATACAGAAGAGGTGTTGCTATTAGCACGAGATCCGCGTTCACTCGATCGTCGGCGAGACTCAGGACTAGGCTTCTGCGCTGCTGCCATGGCTTCAAACTTCTGAGCTTGGGCTAGAGCTCGAGAGCCGCTGCTTCTATTTAGCTTGGGTGTAGTCCGCTTCTCTCCGGGAGATGTAGATTGCTCTTCAGGTGATGATGTGGAGTCTGGTATCTCTGGGGTGCTTCCGAGCTCATCGATAAGTGTGGGCGGTGGTTGAATCTGTGGGACGTTCGCCTCACGCGAAGGGCTTTCAGTCCCTTCAACGAGTATTGACTGGGCTCCGGCTGGCACCGAATCCATTACGGTAGGAGGCAGGGAAGTCCCCATGACTGGTGGGCTGTCATTCTGACCCTCACCAGCTATCTCAAAAGATGCTTCATCTTGTCCTCTCGTCGGAGCCAAGGTTTCTTCATCAACCCCTCCGGCGGGCGAATACGCCGGCGGCGGTGTCCTCGACCTAAAAACCAAACTCTCCACCACGGGCGGCGGATCCTCAAAAATAGACTTCGGTATCTTCATCGGCCTCCAACCCTCTTCCTTTCCCTCTCCCACTGCAGGACCGACCCCCGGTCTGGCCTCCACCTTCTCCCCACCCAACGGCTTCTCAACCGGCGCATCCTCCTCCCTCTCAACAGCCCTCTTAGTAGTCTGATCCGCCATCCTCTCGTCCGCCTCTTTCCTCCACCTCTTTTCCTTACGGCTGAGTTCGATCTCCAGTACCCTCGTGCCAGGTGCAACTCTAGATTTGAGGCCGTCGTCATCGAGATCAAAATACAAGCCCCATAGCCCGGGTGCTTGTTCAACCGCACACCACCCCTCCCAGCCATCGAATGTGAGCCGTCGATCCTGACGCGTGCAATCGAATGGGCCTGTGAGATGCGGTTGTGCATCAGCTCGCACTCCGTATTTTGCTTCTCCCGTCTCTTTATCAACATAGACCCAGTTCATAATCGGCGCCACATCCGTAATCGTCGTCACAAGCCCTTCGTAACTCGTATCCGGATACGGTAAATAATACCCTGCATAAGGATGACCCAGTGGACTTCCATCTTCCGTCCCGGTATCGATCCAGAGCTTCCCGTTTCTTAGTACGACTTGTCGGCCGTCGATTTCGCGGCTGCGATGTGAAGACTTGACGCACGTGGCGATGAGGTTGCAGCGGCGGGCACGGTGTTCTTCGCGCTTCTCTTTGGATTGCGATTGCCGGATCGCTTCTTGGGAGCCGAGGAGACCGGGGGCTACGATTGTGGCGATGAGGATTGAGAGGACCATTTTGCGTGTGCTGCATCATGGGGATGCGTTTGGGGGTGGAGGTTAGCATGGACATGCACCATGTTCGCTATCGCTTGCAGATGGGATTCGATGTGGTCTATGCGCATTACCGTGGTTCCATAGAATCGGGATCGCTTGATAGCTCCGGTGGTCTGATGGTCGCTCGACTGAGAACAAGAATGTCTGAGCTGAGACGGTCGCCCTGAGCTTCACCAGCCCCTGTGTGTTTCATCCTCATAGCCGCCCCGCCGGCAAGCATAGGACATCCCCACAACATCCAAGCAACTGCGGTTGATCGTCTTGTCTGGACCCTAGATTCCCTTTCGGTAGTGAGGCTGGTACGAGACTCGGACGATGGCAGCGACTTTGAGACGCAGGAGTGCCACAACAGCCGTTTCGAGCGTTCAGCGCGACGTCGACTCACGGCAAAGGTGAATGGTGTGTGCTGTTGTCTTGTCTAATGGCGACTTTGCTTATAAGGCAGAGATATGGCACTTCATCAAGGCCAGTACAGTTGACCTGCATCTCATCCTCACCATCCACCATCGCCAATACCCAGCAACGGCCCGGCGCCTGTCCAGCTTGAACCACTTGCCTAATACCTAATATCAACTTCTTGTTATCTCCAACCATCCATCAGAATGTCTACCCTGTAAGCAACACTGGTACGAAGGGTTTTACATGTGCTAACCTCAATCAGCGACTCCACCATCCGCCCAACAGCCTACGGCTCCGACACTGAGAGCGATGGACAAGCCTCCGGTGGCCGTAAGGTGTCTTCCACTTCCAAGGTTGGCCCCGTCCCATCCTCAGCCACACTCAACCGACCGGCCGGCAACATCATCAAGGGACCAGTGGACGACAACGGCAAGCCCAAGGATGCGGCGTTACTCCTGGGTATCAAGCTAGATTTGGAGGCAGAGATTCACTTGACGGCAAGAATTCGTGGAGATATTACGATTGGATTGTACTGAGCTACTGGCATGGTGGACTACGGACAATTCTCGACGCGTCGCACGAAGATTCCAGGACATTGATTGGAAGACGCTTGGAGCGGCATCGCGAGAGCATAGGAAGGCGTTTTCGGTCACGGGATTCATGGAAAAGGGTTGAGATCTAAACATATTGTTAGCGTTTGATGCATCAAAAGTAATCAATATGTGCAAATTGAGGGTGTTGATCAGACTCATGCCCTGTCACAGGCAGTTATCACCATTGCCGTAGCTCGGTAGACCGTCGTGATAAATTGAATGTTCATCTTGTAAAAGGAAGTGGAGGTTATGGATGAAGACTTACCATAGAGGATAGCATCACGCTTGCAACATGAGTGAAGATCCTACGCAACTGATCAGTTGCTGTTGTATCCCATCTTCATAGTGCAACACAGTATAATGTGGATCAGACAGGACAGTTCTCGTCGTCGCCGAAGCTTGGACATATGCTTGTCATTGATAAAGTCGTATCATCATTTCGAGAAAGGAGATAGGCGGCGAGCGTACCGATTGTAGTGAGGCAAGCACTGGTGGATCTGGGTAGCATGTTAGCAAAAGCTTCTGCCAGTGAGGAGAAAGCAAATGGTATGCATTGAAGTGGGATCAGTTGACATGAATGGATATTTTGATTTTAAGTCTTCACCGGGCGAACCCGTCGGACTCGTCATCAAGTGTTCATCATTTCCCGGAAAGTGAGCAAGAGGAGTGCGCTTACCTATGAGGATCTTACAGGCTGTCGTAGATGAACAGACTGATTGCGTTGTTAGCCGAAGCTCAGCGACGCTTGTATAATTGTGCGGTATTGGCGAGCGAGGTCAGTCGGCGAGGTTTCTGAGGCCTGCCATAATGAGCGTATCCGTCACGAATTGTCGGTGCCCAGTGCGGAATCATCATATGGTGTTCGAAGAAGGGTCGAGAGGGAGGAATCGTACCATTTGGTTCGTGGGATGACAATGTCTACAACGCGCGAAATGTTAGCCAGAGCCAAAAGCGATGTTGAGAAGAGCAGTAAATGTAAAGGTCAAAATCAGAAACAGCCATTGTTTATCGGCACCGGCAGAAGCCTTGGTCGGTAATTTCCAGCGTGCCGTAGCACAATCTGATCATCATTGGACGAGGGGAAGTGGAGGGGAGATGTGCTTACCAGTGATATCGCAGAGCTGCGAAGCTACCTGTGGCATTCATGAGCACAAAGCGCAATGCGCTGGTGATGTAAGTGCATATCAAGAAATTCTGAAGCTGGTTAGCTTGATGCTCTCGTCGCAAAAGTCGAAGACAATGTGATGAGCGCAGTCGCGATCAGACTGACGTGCAAAAGTTTGAGTTTCATTCCCCTAGAGGTCAAAGACTCTAATTTGTTTTTGGCTTTGTGAATCATCATGAAAGCGCAGGATGGAGGGTAGGGTACTTGTACTTACAAGAGTGAGCGCATGCTGTAAGCAGTGCTGTTAGTGCTGGCGGTTAGTCGTAGATCTTGTGCGCACAACAGCAAAGCTTGCTGTATCGTTGATGCGCCATTGCTGTGTGAAGCAGTAATGGTGTAGGAAGACAAGTTGTAGGCCGCTGAGAGAAAAGTTAAGCTATCGGAGGTCTCGCTAGTTTTTCCGCTCCACTAGCGCGTTGGTGACTAAGGCGAAGGTGGACCCCCAGCCTCATAGAGACACGGGCCTCAGTACTGAGAACACCGTAGAATCACATGGTGACAATTGAGTATGGCGCGGAGACATTGCGAATCATTTCAGTTCGCTTTGTGAATGTTTGGTGAAAACACTGATCGCATGTCTCTTGGTGCTCTATCCTTGATCTTTCCACCCATATTGACGCCAACCTGATATGCATGCCCTTCTCCGAATTGCGCCTTTACTATGACGCGTGAGAGACTATCATGGCGCGTGATTTGGGTATTTACATGAAGTCGTAAAAACTGGAACTCATGGAGTCTCGTGTATGGAAGCCCCTTCGCCTGTACATCCAACCTTCCTATGCAGAACACGTACTGGCAACGATGCGAACAAAAGTGGCGAAGCTATTGTCTCTCATGAGGCAAAGATGCGAACGTTCAAGTCAACGCAGCCTGTCGCAATAACACAACGTATACCCGCTTTAGCTGCTTCCTCTTCTTTCTTCTTGCTGGCACCGTTGGTAGCGCCGTTGGTGGCATCCCCGTTGACTGGTACGTCCTTGATGACGTTGGGGGCCCAGCGCATACAGCTTACGAAGTGCCCATGGGCGTCGGTAACAGTCTTGACGCATCGGCCTTCCTGCGTGAGGTCCCAGCATCGGATAGTCTTGTCGTCACTAGCCGATAGCAAGTACTTGCCGCCTGGGTGGAAGACCAGCGACCGTATCCAATTGTCATGGCCAGTAAGCGTTTTGATGAGTGTTCCCCGTCCGTCCCATATCTTTATGGTCTTGTCTCTTGATCCAGTCGCAACGTACTCGGCGGAGCTACTGAGTGGTGGTGGTTTCTTGAGTCCAGCAAGTGCTGCAAGGTTGGCGTACGATACTGGGGGCGCTATTGTGACGCATTCGATAACATGCTCATGGCCGAGGAATGTGCATTTAGGCTCTCCTGAGCTTGCGTCCCATAGCCGAGCAGTCTGATCGTTTCCTGCAGACAAGAGCCATCGTCCATCAAAGCTAGGGGCTACGTCTCGTACCCAGTCGGCATGCCCGCGTATCGTCTTGACGCAGTATCCCGTTGTGACGTCCCAAATGCGCAGTGTCTTGTCTCGAGACGCAGAGACTAGTAGGTTCCCTGAAGATGGAGATCCGGCGGCCCCACTAGGAACGAACCGAATCGCAGAGACGGAATGGTCGTGCCCGGGAAGCGTCCTGATGTTCTTGTATTCGTCCGAAGGATCCCACAGCTTGATGGTCAAATCGCTTGAGCACGACGCCAGCAGTGTACCACCTCTTGGACCACCAAAATCGACATCCAGCACTCCTTTTGTGTGTCCCTTGACCGTCCTTTCAAGCTCGCCTAATTCCCAATCCCAGATCTTGATGGTAGTGTCTTCCGAGCCTGAAGCAAGTGACGAGAATACGGGGTGGAAGGCGACGCAGGTTATTGGCGAGCGATGTGATTGGAGGGTGTGTCGTGCTGGAGCCCGTGGTAGCCACGCGGTGGGGTCTTGGTTTCTCCTGATGAGTGAGGTTGGCGTTGTGGAGTCGAGCTCGCTCTGGAGGCTCTGGTTGCGTTGCTCGAGTTCCAAAACCTGAAGAGTATAAGCATATGGTTTCAGTGTAGGTATCGACGCGCAAGTACCTTCTTCTGCAGCCGCACTACACTGGTCCATTTCTTCTCGAGCAGCCCCTCGTACTTTTTCCGCGTGGCATCGTCGAAACTCTCGGCTATGTTGGCTTCTTCCCGGAACGCTTCCGCCGTCTTTGGCGCGTTTATAACGCCCAGATATGCGATTATGGCCTTGTGCCTGGCTCGTCGTCAGTCATGGCTCTCGAGTCACTCGCTGTCTGCAATGCTCACAGCTCTTCCGCTTGCCGGTCTGTCAATATCGCGCTCATGGCGTAATGGCTAGGTCATACGCGATTGACGCCAGACGGGACCATGCACTATCGCGACGTGCTGCGTAGTCGTGTGCGGTCGAGGCGGAGGTTTTTGGTGGGCGCGGGGAATTGCGGTGAGCGGAGGATGTGTGCAGGGGTGGGGTATCTTGGGGGCGCAAATTAGAGGTAGCGGAATGGCGACAGCGGGGGGATAGCGATTGTCTCGAAGCAATAATGCGGGCGTGTGTTGGAGGTGACGTGTGTGCTGGACGATGTAGGTGGGTTGGGCATTCATGTGGTGCAGGGATCTGTTTAGGAAGGAACACTGCTGTTCGCCCGGACAACGAGCCCTAGAGCGCCCGCCAAAACATACTTGCACTTTCTACATCATCACCTCACACCATACTCGACCCCTCACACTCCGCTGTTATCGCTATCCGAGACTTTGCGATCCAATAGTCTCACAAAAAGCAATCGACAACATTGTCTACTGACATCATC